TTTTTGAAATTTATATTTTTTAAATATTTTTAAGCCATGGATGGTTGAATCCAGATAAGGATAAATGGGTTAGATGAGGAATCGGTGGATACAGAAGGCCAACTGTACAAGAAAGCTGTGTATCAACATTTTGTACACTTAGTTCCTTTGTCTGAACTAATGAAATATAGATAGATTATAGAAAAATGTATCTTTTGTCCTTTTTTAGATGGAAGAGGTTTAATAAGGATTAGGATATACAGCATATATAATGAAGTAAAGATTGTAAGTCACTTATTTCTTCCTGTTGTTCTTATTAATTTATTCTTTTTTCTTGCTCTTGTTTCTATATGTAGGCTATTTTTCTATTACTCTTTTCTTTTGTATTATATAATTCTAATAAAAATATTTTTAAAAACCTTTTGGGTAAAAGTGATGGATTTTATTTCTCAGTTATTTAACCAGACTGTTCACTTTTGTGGCTCATTGTTGTTACTATCTGTATTTTGAGAAACATCAAAGATTTAGATGACTCTGATACCTTTCCTACTAGAACCCTGATATTTTTCCTACTAACAGCAGGAATGATAGAAACCACTCACCAATGGAGAGACTTCAATGGACTATCATGTTGTAAATATCTAGACAGAGTGTGGCAAATAGCATTATGTGAAGAAGAAGAAACTGACCTGAAATTTGGAAAAAAATTATCCAATAATAAGAACAACAAATTCATTGAAACTTGGTATTCTTTTATTACCTATGCTAACAACATTTCCCAATTTAAAGTACCATTGTATATGGACATGTTTTGGTGCTGTACCTTTTGAACAATATAATGTTCAGTTTGTTTTCTTTGGACTGTTCAGTTTAACAACCATCTGAAATAATCATGCAACTGATTTATGCAATGCCATTGAGATTTGATTACTCCAAGTGTACCAATTGTGACTTGTTACTCAGTTGTTATTAGTGCCATGCATGCCTTTATGGAAAACTTAAAACATATATTTAAAAAAGAAAAAAAATGACAGTTTTTCAAAAATACGTATATTGGGATGATTCAACATGAGTAAGATTCAGTAACAGTGATTTAGCATAAGTATGATTCAATAAAATATGCTACTCAAAATCACTTCAAAATTTCAAGAATTAACTTCAAAATTCAAGGAAAAATTAAATAAAACCCTCCTCCATAACACACATCGAATGACTTGATTCTCTTCCTATAATTTGTGCATCAATACAATCAAATGTTGCACCACACCCATTTGTTTTAGATGTATCAATAGGGTTTTTTAAAATAATGTACACAGTCAAACGCTTTGCTATAAACTATGAGGCACAGTTTAGTTTTCTTCTGAAATTTTTTGATGCATTTCATTAGCCAGGATATATTTGTAATATGATTTCAAGTGCCTCTTCCTTTTCTGAATCCAGTTTGGATGTTTCTTGCTCTCTATATGGCAAAAGTCTTCATTGTAAAATACTGAGCATCACTTTACTTATGCAGAAAAAGTTACTCTTAAAGGTGCCACATAACTTCTTCCTTCTATTTATACTGAAAAAGAGTAACACAACTGAAAATTGGTACCACTGTAGCAATAGCAATAGCATTTACATTTCTATACCGCTTCATTGTGAACTCGGCATTCTCTAAGCGGTTTACAATCTGTAAGCCAATTATGTAAACTTCCCACCCAGGACTAGTCAGCTGCAATGGTAGGGAAGCGATTGCATTATTTTCATCAGGATAATAATGGAGAATAATACTCCCTAGTCATGTGGTATGATTCCAGTGGTGATCTCATCCTGTGATTTCTATTTAAAATTCAAAATTTATTTAAATTATAAATTCACAAAGAATGAAATTTAGAAAGTTAAATAAAAAACCAACATATGAATTGCATGCACACATTAAATGTGCTCTTCTATATGTATCTCCCTAAGAGTAAACTCCATTACATCCCACTAAACTTGCTTATCTCCCTTCTGCTTATTTGTGCAGAATAAGAAACTGGAACTATATTGAAAACCTCTTTTCTCCAAAATTTAGAGAGCTACAAAATCTCTTGGCAAGAAAACCCCAGCCAGGGAAAAGAAATATTTTTAAGAGTTGCAGGTGGAAGAACAAGCTTTGTTGCTTGTGATGAGATTTGGGAGATTTCTGAAGTAACTCACAACCTCAGGGCACGGAGCAAGCTACTTTGTCAGATGAAGGATATATCAGGCATGAGGGAGATTATCCCACTCTGGGCACAGGCTGAGACAGTGTAAAAACAGATGTTATCGCACAGCTTTGTGCCCAGATCAGAGACATCCCGTACTCGATCAGGACTTCTCCCATACTGAGCTAAAAACTATTCTTATCCGTTCATTGTTTAGTATGGGAGAAGTCATGATTGGGTACAGGATGCCTCTGATCTGGGCACAAAGCTGTGCGATAACATCCATTTTTGCACCATCTCAGCTCGTTCCCAGATTGACGAAAAAGATAATCTCCAAGGTCTCTTTGGTGTTATCTTCAACTGTGAAAAAATGTCTTTAGTTTTAACAAATGTTGTCCAAAAGTCTTAACAAAAGTTCCAGAATCACTTCTTCAGAATGCTTACTCTAAAATAGAATGCTTACTCTAAAACTCGACAAACTGTTTTTTAAAAAATGCATTTTGGAACATTTTAGGGCAGTAGTTTTCAACCTTTGGTTCTCCACATGGTTTGGACTTCAATGCCCCAGCTAGCTTGGTCAAGAGTTGGGAATTCTGGGAACTGAAGTCTAAAACATCTGGAGGACTAAAGGTTGGGAACCAGTGGCATCCCCATCTGTGGTATCACCTGGGAGACTGCTGGGGGGACACAGCTGTCAAAAGGGCACACTTGGACCTCTCTTTTGCCACAACAGCAGAGGTTTCCTCATGAGGAGACCCCTGTCACTATGGCAAAGCGGAGAGGCACACTTGAGCCTCTCTGCCGCCATGGTGGAGGTCTCCTTGTAAGGAGGCCTCCACCACTGCAGCAAAGTCTCGAGAGGTGTGCTTGGGCCTCTCCTTCGTGAAACCAGGAGGGGTGCAATGGGAGGACGGCCTGACCGGATGTCACCCATCTTCAGGGATGTCACCCAGTGCAGTCTGCACCCCTCGCACCCCCCTAATGATGCCACTGTTGGGAACCACTGTTCTTGGTAAGCTTCCCCCACCCTATTTCCACCCGCAACTTCTAGCATCTCACAGGCTGAGTGAAACAGCTGCCCCTACATAGAAGAAGGGTCGAACTATTTCCCTATTAAAAGAGGTATTGACTATCGTGACCTTATTCTCCATGTAAAAAGTTACCTTCTCCCCTTCATAATCCAGAAATACCCCAATCTTTCGAGAGCGGCAGGGAAGTGGATGGGAATCAGTTCCTGCTCGCCGAAGCCAATAGAGACCCTTCTGCCAAATCCCTTCCTCAGCATTCATACTGAGATACCTCTTCCTCTCCACAGACTCCCTGGCCACCCCAACAGCCCACTCCCTCTTGTTTCCATACTCCACTTCCCAATAATGTTTCCCTGTGCTGAATCCTGGAGAACCCAGCAAAAACAGGTTGCTGTTGAATCTCTCTGGATTGTCAGGCACATCTTGGGGTCTAGGTACCCATGTCACAGTCTTCTTGTCTGGAGATACAAGGAGATTTGGGTGTGCAGTTTGAGGATTAAAACTCACATTGACTGCAAAGGAGAAAAGAAGAACCCATCAGAGCATTAAAGACAGAACCATATTTGTGAGCAATAGAGTTGACAGTGTCATTGACAGTCATATTTTTCCTCTCCAACTTGACAATTAAAAAATGAAAATGGAGTCTTGTCCAACTCTTGCCACTCTCCATGAAAGTTATACTTTCTTAATTACCGTATATACACTACAGGTTGAGTATCTAGTATCCCAAACACTTGGGAGCAGAAGTATTCCTTATTTGAGGGTTTTTTTATTTTGGAATATCGATATTTGCACATATATAATGAGACATAATGAGGCTGCAGAGAGACTGAGGATCTGTGAAACAGCAGGAGGCATAGATTCCCACCATTTCCCAGATCCTTGAGTTTCTCTCCAGCCATGTCTCTTGTGTTGTAGGTCAAAAGATTTGCATTTTGGAGTACTTTGGATTTCAGAATTCCAGATAAGGGAAACTCAACCTGTACTTGGAAATCTTCCTGGGGTGATGTTGATGATTTTGCTTATTGTTTGAATAAAGTAAGTTTGACAGCACCTGCATTCCTTTAGATTGGTTTCACACCACATTCCATGAAAAATATACCAAAACCAGCAATCTTGGGGGGAAAGCTGAGGTTTTTCAGTTGGTTCCAAACTTCTGGAAACTGTGGTCAAGTGTGTGGATTTGTATAGCATAAATACTTTAACGTGTAATGTAGAGTTATACTGTGACACACTTTGTTCACCGCAGAAAGCACTCTCTCCTTTAGGGATGGGGAATATGTGGCCCTCCGGATTTTGTCAGACTCTGATTAAAACTCCCATCATCCCTGGTTACTAGCCATTCTAATAGAGGCTGATGGGAGATGAATGAAATATCTGGAGGACTACAGGTTCCCATCCTTGGTGTACTGAAACAGACAATGGCTTTAGAACTTGTCAAGCAAACATTCTTCACACAGTTCATATACCAAGATTGTTTTAAGTTGACATGGGACATTCTTTCTCCAGCACAAAGATACAGTGAATGGGAAAAGCTATAATTCAGTGACTCTGGATGAAATAATGTAGATTCCTATCTTTCACAGACACTGCATCTCCATGTGAAGAAAGCTTCTGTGGATCTTCTCTCCTTTTAAGCACCTCTTTGATGTTGTAACATCTCTTGTTCTTCTTGTTATTATGTGCATTCAAGTCATTTCCAACTTATGTTGACCCTAAGGCAAACCTATCACAGGGTTTTCTTGGCAAGTTTCTTCAGAGGGGTTTGCCATTGGCATTCTCTGAGGCTGAGAGGGTGTGACTTGACCAAGGTCACCCAGTGGATTTACTGAGCCAGGATTCGAACCTTGGTGTTAGGAGTCATAGTCCAATGCTCAAACCACTACACCACGCTGGCTCATATTGAAGGTGATGGTAAAGGATGTGTGAGGATGTGAAAAACTCTACCTTTTGAACTAGGTTCTAAGGGGAATGCAATGCTCTCCAGGCTATAATACCACTTAGATCTGAATTATGCTGTTTTTCCCCCTCTGGGATATACTGAAATTTAGACATTCTCTCTGACCACTAGAAAAGAGAGACCAGCCCCTCTATTGACTGGACTATAAGTGATTGCGTCTAGCTCAGAACTGTGTTCTGGTAGCACAGTTCTGCCAATTTTCATTTTCTGTTTCCATTCCCCTTATTGTGCCATGTCTATTAGACTGCAAGGAATTACCCTCAACCCTCCACATTTGCGGCTTTGACTTTTGCGGATTTGACTATTTGTGGATTAATATGTCCTCTCTAGGAATCTCTAGGTCCTCCAGAGAAATTCTGCTGGAAGTTTACCATGGAGTTGCACTGGAGGACCTAAGCATTCCTAGAGAAAACACTTCTCTAGGCATTTTCAGCTTCTCCAACATGATTCTCTGGTCAAATTCTGGCAGATCTTGACCACAGAGTTCTGCTGGAGGACCTAGAGATTCCTTGAGAGGTGTTCTCTCAGGTTAAAAAAGTACTGTACTATTTATTTGCACTTTTTCCACTTTCACAGGAGTCCTGTGCCCCTAACCCCAGTGAATGTGGAGGGTCCACTGTACAGTCTTCAGCTTGGACTTCAACTTGGATTCACTGAGAGAAAGTTGGCAGATAAAGTGAATAGACACCTAACCCTCTGCACAAATAAAAATATCTTCTTTCTCCACTTATTAGTCATCCCATATTGGTTAAAATGGGACTGCTACCTTTTCATAAACCTGCTATCTCATCCTTTACTCTTCCTGAGACTCAAACACAGATGGAGCATTGAACAATGTGTTGTTGTTGTTGTGTACCTTCAAGTTTTTTCCAACTTATGGCAACCCTATCACTGGGTTTTCTTGGCAGATTACTTCAGAGGTGGTTTCCCATGGCCATCCTCTGAGGCTTAGAGAGTGTGACTCGCCCGGGGTCACCCAGGGGTTTAATGGTTGAGTGGGGATTCGAACCCTGGTCTTCAAAGACACATTCCAATGCTCAAACCACTATGGCATGCTGGTGCTCTCAGAAAGCAACAAGTGTCTAGCAACAACTTTAACTGCACTGGGAATTCCTTGTGTTACTACCCATTTTAATGAGATGGGTTTTAGAGAAATGCACATTTATCTTGTTGCATATCATCAAGGCCCCTTTTAACAGTGCCCACCCTCCAAAACCACTCATTTAACCCATCCATTTACCTTTGTATCTCTCATTTGGTGTTGAAGCCAGGGCCTTTCCACCCCCTTCCAATTCAGCAAGAAAACACAGTGATAGCCACAGAATGCAACACGGTCCTATGGAAAGACAGAGGAAAGAAGTTAGCAGTGGCTTTTGAAAATACTTAATGAGATTTATGAGCATGCTTTCACACCAGTCTTATAAGGTAGGCCACAATTATCCTTACTTTATACAGCTGCTGTGCTGAGACATAGCAATTTGTCTAATGCTGGCTCAAGAGAATAGTAAGGTCAGATGTTTGCTGTGGATTCACAACCAGCAAAGAGACCATTGCCCCCAACAGTAAGTGGTCTTCATTTTGCATGGGACACCCAAGAAAATTATCTTACATCTTGTAACTATCTTACAATTATCTTACATCTTACAATGTAAGATAATTCTCACATTACACCTCCCAGCACATGCAAGATAAGAGGGTCCACTGAAACTGTTCTGATGGACAGCATCACAAACCCTGAACTCATTCTAACACTGGACTTATCCAATGAGAGCAAAAGTGGTGTAGCAGTTTGAGCATTGTACTATGAATCTGGAGATTAGAGTGTGAATCCTTGCTTTGCCATTGAAACCCAGTGGGTGACCTTGGGCAAGTCATACTCTCCTAGCTGCAGAGGAAGGCAATGGCAAAACTCCCTCTGAACAAATCTTGCCAAGAAAACTCTGTGAGAGCACCTTAGGATCACCATATGTCAAAATGATGTAAAAGCACACAATATCATGAGACACAATAGGTGTCAACATGCCTAAACCTCTGTTTAGTTGTGGCCAACATCCTCACATCCAGATCCAGTTCATGAGCCCATTGATGGTTAATTGTTGGCCCTCTACACTTCAGCTACAACTTCCATCATCCCTGGCCACCACTGCTTGCTGGTCCTGATGTGAGCCAGAACTGGAGAATGTCTAGAGGACTAACCATTGCCTTAATTCCTAAACTATATCAGCCCTTCATTATGAGACCTGGGAGAAAATAACTACAGTACTCTTGTTGTTAAAATTATCATTATTATTATTATTCATTTACCTTTGAACCCCTGGAGGACAGTGGTCTTCATGGCAGCCAGAAAGTCTTCCTCCTCATAGCAGAAAACAAAGAAGTTAAAGGAAACAATGGAATCATAGAATCTTAAATTTGAAAGGGGCTGCAAGGGCCAGATAATCCAGACCATTACCATGCAGGAATATTACTAAAGCATTCCTGGAAAATACCCTTTTAATCTCCGCTTAAAGACCTCCAAAGATGGAGAGTCCATCACCCTCTGAGGCAGTCTATTCCACAATTCCACAAAATCATATTTAGGTAGAATCTCTTTTCTTGTAATTTGAATCCACCAATTCACATTCTGGGCTCTGGAACAGTAGAAAACAAGCTTGCTCCATCTTCCATATGACATCATTTCAGATATTTAAAGATGGCTATCATGTTACTATCTTCTCTTCTCCAAACTAAACATATCTAGCTACATCAGTCATTCTTCATAAGGCTTAGCTTCCAGACCTTTGACAATCTTGCTCCTTCTTCTATAGATATTTACCAGCTTGTTGGTATCCTTCTTGAACTGTGGTGCCCAGAACTGGACAATGTTCAGGTGAGGTCTGATCAAAGCAGAATGGAGTGGAACTTCTACTTCCCATAATCTGGACACTAGAGAGTTTATTACATGAAGCTAGTAAAGCACAATTACAATAGTATTTGGCAAGTACTTATCACGTTGTTGCTTTGCATTTCAATTGCTGGTGGAACGCACTTTTTCATTGATGGCAGGAAGATGCTCTCCACCGGTGAATGAAATGCAAAGCAGCAAGAGTGTGATACATACCTGCCAAAGACTATTATCCTACTGTAACTGCACTTTCCTAGCCTTGTGCGATGAACTCCTATACTCCTGTTGATGCAACCAAGAACTTCATTTTCCTTTTTGGCTGCCACATCACACTTTCAACTCACATTTACGTAGCTTATGGTCTAACAAGACCCGTAGATCTTTTTCACATGTATTGCTTTCTTCTTTCTTTTTCTTTTTAATTTTTTTTTTTTTATTCACACATGTACTGCTTCCAAGCCAGGTGTCACCCATCCAATATTTGTGCATTTCATTTCTTACATTGAACCCTGTGGAAATTTATTTTGGAGTTTATCACACAGGGGATTCCAGTGCAGAAATGGGGCTTTAAATTGGAAAAAAAACACAAAAGCGGTTAGATTTTCAGACAACATTGCTGTTAAAATGGAGTTAAAATGAGGTTAATCCAAATGGAAACTCATCAAAAACTGCTTCTTTTCATTTTCGGAAAATCTCAAAAGTAAAAAGCAGTTTTTGATGAGTTTCCATTCGGATTAACCTCATTTTAACTCCATTTTAACAGCAACGTCATCTGAAAATCTAACCGCTTTTGCGGGTTTTTTCCAATTTAAAGCCCCATTTCTGCACAGGATTTCCTCTGTGTGATAAACTCCTTTGTTAGGTTTTGCCCACCCTCTTAGCTTGCATGTGCCGGGAGGTATAATGCAAGAATGATCTTACAGCACTTCTGGATGTCTTGGATGTCCCATGCAAAATTAATACCATTTGCTGTTAGGGGCAATGGCCTCTTTGCTGGTTGTGAGACCACAGCAAACATCTGACCTTACTGTTCTCTTGAGCCAGCATTAGGCAAATTGCTCTCTCAGCACAGCATCTGTATAAAGTAAGGATAATTGTGGCCTGCATTACAAGACTGGTGTGAAAGCATACTCTGTCAAGATCATTCTGAATTCTGATCCTATCCTTTGAGGTATTAGCTCTTCTGCCACTCTCAACCTGGTGGTGTCTCCAAACCTAATCACCATGATTTCTATTCCGTCATATAACTCATTTATAAATATATTGAACAATACTTGGCTCAGGACAGAAGGTGGGGAACAGAAAGAGAGAATTTGTATATGTACCCAGTTGTTAATCTGAAGCAGTAGTTCCCAAACTTTGGTCCCCCAGATGATTTCGACTTCAGCTCCTAAAATTCCTGATTATTGACTGAGCTTGCTGGGGCTTCTAGGAGTTGAAGTCCAAAACACCTGGAGGGGCAAAATTTGGGAATCACTGCTCTGAAGTTTAGATCAATAGATAAGTGAGGACACCTATGACCAGTTCTTCAGGGGTTGTACTTGAGGGTTGTGTTTTCTCCATCACTGAAAATCTTTCATCTGGAGATCAAGCCATGCATTTTCTATCATAGTGATGGGGGAGACCAGAGGGAGCTGCAGCTATTGTGAGAGGAATTTGGGTCACCCCTGTTGAACAGGGGAAGGAGCCTTAACCAATCTTGCACAATGTTTTCCATAAGTATTAACGATACTGGTTAGATGGAGCAACGATCTTACAGTACAAGCAAGCATCTTATCCTATTTTGGAAAAGGTGAATCTCAAAGTTGCCCAGATGGCTGGCCAATTTTTGCTTTCAACAGAATTTATTTTCCCCAGAGAAAAATAAAAGAGGAAAAAATTCTTCCAGCATATGATCACGTACAGGAAAGTTACAAGATGGTTTTAATTTTATGAGCCATTGTCAGGCAATGAATATGCCTGAAAACAAATCATGTCAGAATAAGGTCTTACCTTATTTTCCTGAAAAATATCCTGTTCTAATGTCAGCAGAGCTTCAAAATGCTGAGATGTC